CATATGGGAAACGATCCTACGAATTATGTGCATGTCCATACCACTCCGCCAATTCTGAGCTCCATGACTCAGACGAAAGAGTATCGCTCGACGATCAAAGTTATTCCTCCGAACGGGCTCCTCGAAGATACGCTCACCACCACTCGCCTCAGCGTAGCGCATCCTCAGACCGCATGCCTCGAAGATACGATCACCACCACTCACCTCAGCGTAGCACATTCTCAGACCTCGCGCCTCGAAGAAACACTCACCGCCACTCGCCTCAGAGTAGCACATCTTCATACCGCGCGCCTCGAAGATACGCTCACCACCACTCGTCTCAGCGTAGCACATCCTTAGACCGCGCGCCACGAAGAAACGCTCACCGCCACTCGCCTCAGCGTAGCACATCCTCAGACCGCGTGCTTCGAAGGGAAACTCGTCGTCAATCACAGCGTCCACTAAGGCAAAGAGCCCGGGCCCCTTCAAGGGAGAGAGCGACGCAAAGCCGTCGGACGAGAAGCGGTTATTCCCGGTCGTATGACTATCGTCAAAGACCTCGAGGCGGGGGACACCACGAACATGCGCACCACCGCGAAACTCCCCTCGAAACTAACTCGGAAGTAGAGCTTCCCGACACCAATGAACAAGAAGGCATCGACCAGGCTCCGATGACTGCAATTAAAGGAGTCCTCGGCGAGAAGTCTCGACGTCGACGGTCGCTCACTTTGGGGCATTGTCCACCCGAATTACGCATTTATTCCTGCTATTATGGAAGAAGTGTTGCCTCTCGGATTCAGGATCCCAATCTCCCCCAATTCGACAAAACCGGGGATCCCCAAGATCACTTAAATAATTTTTACGCCAAGATTGACCTCTACGATCTTAGTAACATAGCCCACAACAAGATTTTTCGGACCACGCTAGCTGATCAGGCACAAATTTGGTGCAACGGCTTGCTCGAATGGTCCATAGACAATCTAGACCAACTAGCGACAATTTTCCGTCACCAATACTCTATAAGCAAGAAATACGTCAAAACTGGTCGTATCTCTTCAAGGTCATACAACGGGACGGAGAGTCGCTCATGAATTACCTGCAACGATTTGTCAAAGCAGTATATGAAGTGCCCATCCTTAATCACGAAATGTTAACCGACATACTGCAACACAATTTGAAGCATGCTCGTTTTCAAGAGTACATCGAAGGCCGACCCCCTATGACCCTAGAGGAGCTCCTGAATCGCACAGAGAAGTACGTTCGGATTGAAGAGACTGCAGAGATGAGGGTCACCTTAAGTGAAAGCGTGATGAGGGAAGCCACAACTATAATATAAAAGAAGAGAGACGTCCCGCCAAAAATCGCACCTTCGAGAAGTTCTCAACTCTCAAGGATAAACTTGTTGACATGATGATCATCGCAGAGCAGATATGAATTCTACAACCACCGAGATGGATGAAGGAGAATCCAGAACGATAAAATTCGGATGATTACTATGAATACCACAGAGATCGAGGTCACTCTACTGAGGAGTGTTTTCAGCTTACGCAAGCGCTCGGAAGACTTGTCCAAAACGGGCATGTAAACCACAACATTTTCGAGTCTGCAAAATATAATAAATACGAGACAAGAAAAATAGGGAACAAATAAATTTATTAATCAAACGGAAGCGGATTACAATCTCCGTGAATTCCCCTGATTCTTCTCTCATATTCTAGATTTTGATTCAAGGGCTTAAAAGTTTGTTCTTGAATCGAACATATGATTTCCTATCACGAACACCTCGAATTTAAATATGTTATGAATTCGAGGAATCGAACATATGATTTCCTATCACGAACACCTCAAATTCAAATATGTTATGAATTCGAGGCGGAGGCTCGAGACGTGAGCTTGAGAGCTCGATATGTGTCTGTGTGAGTCTGATTTTTACATGCATAGAATGTCTTCTTTTATAGACGCAAGCTAGGGTTTATTAGCACAAGCTAGGGTTTCATGATTTGCAGCATGGGCCAGACATTTTAAAGCCCAAATATATTATGGACTTTAATTTGAGACCTAATTAATAACAGATTTATTTTCGTTATTAATTAGTAATTTATCTCAAAATTTCGATGTCTACAGGGCACTTGAGAGAATTCCTAGAACAATCGCAATCCTGAAAAAATACTTTACTTAGTATTTACTATTGCCCCACGCGGGCTCCATGTAATTTCTTTTTACCAATAAGTCGGTGGCATACCGCCCCGGACAATATTTTCAAGGCATACCGCTAGCCGCATGATTCTTAATAAACTCTTTTAGTCGGTGGGATACCGCCACCAAGATTTCTACATCAACCATTTGTCTTCTCTACGCGTTTTCATTCAAGGCATCTACAATCGATTTAACAGAAAATCAATAGACTCAAAAACTAGCTAAAGGGGAAGATATCAAGGATCACAAAGGGTCTGGCCAGCCCGAACCTTGGTTTCTCGCTCCCCAAAGCTCCAAAAAATAGAGCAGCTAAAGCTCCGGGGAGTCTTACCAGCCCCATAAAACTTAGATAAACGGGCAGACTTCCTACATAAAAAAACTTGAAGGTCTGATCAACCACCAAGTGTAAAAATACGAACTTCCCACTAGGCGTTAAAGCCAAGGGATACCGTCTTACCTAAAAAGATAAAGTAAAAACTTATTTTTTACGAGAGTCGAGCCTCCCACTAGGCGATATAGCCAAGGGATACCGTCTCACCGAAAAAGATAAAGCATAACTCATTCTTTACAAAAATACGGACTTCCCACTAGGCGTTAAAGCCTAGGGATACCGTCTTAGTTAAAAAGATAAACTAAAAGCTTATTCTTTACGAGAGCCGAGCCTCCCGCTAGGCGATATAGCCAAGGGATACCGTCTCACCGGAAAAGATGAAGCATAACTCATTCTTTATGAAATGCGTGCTTCCCACGAGGCAATAAAGCCAAGGGATTTCACCCCGCTAAAAAGACAAAAGTAAAGCTCATTCGTTACGAGAGACGGACCCCCCACTAGGCAATATAGCCAAGGGATACCGTCTCGCCGGAAAAGTTGAAACATAACTCATTCTTTAAGAAATACGCGATTCTCACTAGGCAACAAAGCCAAGGGATATCACAACTTCTTCCAATAATTTTGGCGATTGATCGCCGCTGTACAACAAATGGGCCTCCCTTCAAAAAATATCATCGCCTAAGTGCAGCAACCGCCTCTCCAAGATCCATGTAGCCGACTTCAAAATTTCCTGCTACCTTGAAACTCAAGGAAAACAAAAAAAAATATTTCGTCTTCGACCGACTATTCTTAATTACTCCCAGGCAGACCCACGAGCCCGTGGCTCAACTGGGAGTGGGGGGCTTAATGATGTGCCTAATTGGGATTTAACCCAAAAGGCAAAAAGCCCAAGAGGCTCATTAAAAGGAAAAATCCAATACAAAGGCCTTAATTAAGAACTTTATGAGAAGCTTATGGGAAGAAAACTAATGTTTTTTGTCCCACGTTGGTTTTCTACAAGAAAATCATACCAAACTCCACCTATAAATATGTGTTAGCAATCACATAACAAGGTAAGCACTATTTAGGCAATTAATTAATATTATTTGCTTATATTGTGATAGTTTTCTGACTTGAGCGTCGGAGGACAATCGCCGGGCCACCCCCGGCGTGTCACCTAGTGTTTTCAACTGTTTTGTAGGTTAACGAGTGGAGCGATCCCTTCGACTACCTCGTACACGTGGCAAGGACTCTTGGCATTCCCGATATTGGGCTTGAAGATTCCCGGACTTAGAAGACCTGTGCGCTTCAAGACCATTGGGCTGACCCAACATTTTGGAGCAGCATCATATAGTATAAAGTTATTGGTGATTTTGATCGTGAAAAAGTTTTTGGGACGTTATACCAATTTTACCCAAATCATGTGTACTATAGTATAAAGTTTTTAGTGATTTTGATCGTGAAAAAGTGTTTTGGACATTCCACCAATTTTATCTAGAATCTGTGTACAATAATAGCATACTGTTTTTGGTGATTTTGATCGTGAAATAGTTTTTTTTTTACGTTCCACAAATTTTACCCAAAATCTGTGTACTATATAGTATACAGTTTTTGATGATTTTGATCGTAAAAAAGTTTTTTTGACGTTTCACAATTTTGACCTAAAATTTGTGTACTATATTATACATTTTTTGGTGATTTTGATCGTGATTTTTTTGTGGACCTTCCACCAATTTTATCTAAAATCTTTGTACTATATAATATACATTTTTTGGTGATTTCGATCGTGAAAATATTTTTTGGCCGTCCTACCAATTTTACCCAAAATCTGTGTACTATAGTATATAGTTTTTGGTGATTTTGATCTTGAAAAAGTTTTTTTTTGACCTTCCACCAATTTTATCCAAAATATGAGTACTAAAATCACAAAAAACTGTATACACTATAATACACAGATTTTAGTTAAAATTGATGCAACGTCCAAAAAATTATTTCACGATCAAAATCACCTAAAACTGTATACTATAGTACACAAATATTAGTTAAAATTGGTAGAACGTCCATAAAAATATTTGACGATCAAAATCACAAAAACGGTGTACAATAATAAGTACACAGATTTTCGGTTAAAATGGCAGAACGTCCAAAAATTTATTTCACGATCAAAATCACCAAAAACTGTATGCTATATAGTACATAAATTTTAATTAAAATTGGTGGATAGTCCCCAAAAACTTTTTCACGATCGAAATCACCATAAACTGTATACTATAGTATACAGATTTTCGATAAAATTGGTAGAACGTCCCAAAAACCTTTTCACGATCAACACCAAAAACTGTACACAAATTTTGGGTAAAATTGATGAAACATCCAAAAAACTATTTCACGATCAAAATCACCAAAAACTGTATGCAATATAGTACATAAGTTTTAAATAAAATTGGTAGAACTTCCAAAAAACTTTTTCACGATCAAAATGCAAAGTGTTTAATTTAAATTGATCAAACAAAGGTAAATACAAAGAGCCTTATATATTAATTTAATAATTTAAATCGCAAGTAAATATTCATCAACAGGACAGCTTCCCAGATGTACAAACATACCAGAAAGTGTCGAAAAAAAATCGAAAAACAAGACCAACATTAATCTGGAGACAAAGGACAAACGAAAACCGAAAACTAATTCACCCAAAACAACACTATGTACACAAAATCCTTTTTACATGTTCACATTATTCAAGCCATGTCGTCTCTCTTCCCTTCCTCGTCGTCGTAGAACTTTTTCCACACCGGATGCTGCTTCCATACTCTTTCCTCAATAAGCTCGATCGGTATTCCTTTCGTCTCGGGCAATAGGAACACGACAAAGAGTCCCATCACGAGAATCCATGCGGAGAAGAAGAAGAATATGTACGCCCTCATATGACACATCATTGATAGAAACGCCTGCGCGATTATGAACGTGAATATCATGTTTGTGCTGACAGCAAATGCGAAACCTGCTGTTCTTGTCTCGATCGGGAATATTTCACTCGGAATCAGCCACCCCATCGGGCCCCACGACCATGCGAACGACATCACAAACGTGCACACTAAAATAACCACTAGAGCTGCTAGCCCCTTGTGCAGTGTGCCGGTTGCACTTAGATGAGTTAGCAAGATTGCTCCAATCGCAACCTGCATGCAAGATTTTTTTTCGATCAGATCGATGAATTTTCGTAGGGGTTAAACTTGGAACGAAATTTCCAAATTCAGCCAATTCTGATGTAGAGTTTTCCAACTTTGAAACAAATATCTTCATTCCGATTTTGATGACCGAAAATAGTTCCGATAAATCCAATTTTTTTTTCCCAGATATTTTTATGAAATAATTATGTTACATTATATATGTAAGAATATATTAAATAGTATAGTTTAATAGGTGGGACTAGATTAGTTTTTATTTAACTCGTTAAATAAAGACATTTTTATTTCAGATTTTTTTTTTAATTCCAGAAATTGGAATTTTTTTTCCGATAAACTTATTTTCGATCCGATCCATTCGACTTTCAGCCCTAATTTGACGTTGTAATATTAGTAGAGAGAAATTAAATACTATTAACAACTATCATACCTGTGAGATGAACATCTGGACAGAAGCTTGGAGAAGCAGCTTTCTCCTTCCTACTTTATCCACAAGGTAGATAGATACGAAAGTAGCACCAACATTAACCAATCCGGTAATGACAGACGACAACAACGAAGCATCGGATTTAAACCCTAATGTCTGAAACAAGACAGGAGCGTAAAACATGATTGCATTAATCCCCGTCAGCTGTTGGAACACCTGAATTATATTAGCAACAAACAGCGCCGGAATTCCAGATCTCTTGAACAGTTTCTTGAATGGCTTCTTCACTTGTCTCCCTTGTTCGCATGCAGCCACAATTTGCCGAAACTCGGCGTCAACTTCATCGACACCCCTTATCTTTTTAAGGGCCTTTTTGCCCTCGTCTTCTTTGCCTCTCTCGATAAGGCTCGATGGCGTTTCGGTAATTATCAGAGATCCGACCAAAAGAACACAACCTGGTACTGCTGCAAGGCCTAACGAAATCCTCCATCCGTTGGGATGAATCATCGACGTGGCGTAGTTTATTAGGTTTGCGATGAAAATCCCGATTGTCACGAAGAGCTGGAAGAGGATATTCACCGCCCCTCTGTGTTGTACCGGTGCGATTTCTGTTAAAAACAACGGAACCGCCTGCAAAAATGGTTTTAAACTTTTAATCAAGACTTTATGCAATGATTATATGGTGTACATTGTATGTATATATGCTTACTTCGTTTCCGAAACCAACTCCAATGCCGAAAAGAATTCGACCAACAATAAGCATCCACTTGGCCTCGGCGGCCCCACACAAGCAAGCCCCACCGATGAAAAAAGTCGAAGCCATAAGAATAGTGGGGCGGCGCCCTAAAAGTGTACAAGCTCTCGATGCAAAGAAGCTAGCTATCAACGCTGCTATGTACAACGAAGATGTGAAGAGTTGCAGCATTTGGTCATCGTATTTACAGTAGTTGTTCTCCGACACGTGCATTTTCCTCTCGTGTACGTTCGGGAAAAACTTTATCAAGAAATCGTCCATAGCCGTTACTCCACCTGATTAATAAATAAAACATTCAGACTTCATATTTTTTTTCAAATATATATATATATTTTGACTAACGCATGTTTATGTACCCGAAATGCCGATGTCGTAACCGAACATTAGCCCTCCGAAGGCAGCAAGTATCCAGCATGCAAACACATACGGTGTCACCTTCGACTTGTAATGTTCGATATCGTTGTTCGCCATTTTTCTCTGCTTCTCCGATTATTCCAGAAATCGTATATATTTCAGAAAATCCTCAAAACTTAGAATATATCCCTAATAAGAAGATATATACACACAAATGTCCTTATATTTCTTGTTGTCTTGAATTTTTATCTACATATGCAGAGGGGGGCGGGGGCGCGGGGGAGAATATGAGATAAAGAGTTCTATAATACAGAAGAATCTTATAGAATCTTTATCCGTTATTCTCCAGTTATATTTCCCTCTACATATAAAAAAGAAAAATATTTCAAAATTGCAAAGAATCTGCCCTACTTATATACTATTTCTTTATCTCTCTAAATTTAGGCATTCCAAGTAACGGATAATTTTTTGGATAACTGACGGTGAAAACTGCACCATTAATGAAGGTAAACAAAGATTAACCTTGTATTACTACCACAATTAACGGGGTTGAATTCCGTTTATTTCTCCTCAGTGAAATTCCACCACCTTTTCTTTAATTAGCAGATCCAATTGACAAAATTTTACAAAAAATAAAAAAATCTACTATTTATAGATAATTAAATAGATTATACTATTCAATTACCAAAATACTTTGGAAAAGGCGTTACGACGGCGTTTCATTGTCCCAAACTTCTCAATAGCCGATACCACCGCCTTGTTGTCGGAGTCTGCCGCCGCCGCCGCCGCCGGAATGTGTTTCAGCTGCATGATCTCAATTCTCAAACCTGAAGAAGAGAAGAAGAAATAAACACGAGCTTTAGAAATGAATGCAGATTAATTAACTAATGAAACGTAAAATCCAAATAAATTCACGGTGAATAAATACATCATTATACAGTAAAATTAGAAATTAATCCAACCGTAATCTGAAGCATCGCTTATTAACTTCGAATCCATTTTGTAGTTCAGTAATTTCTTCACCGTTCGAAATTTCCAGAGAAAGAATGGTCAATAATACCCTAAACCCTAATCAATTTGGGAAATGGAGCTGATACCACTTCTACTCTGATTGTCAATATATTCTTTTTTTTATTTTTTATTTTTCAGGGCATTTTTTTTTCTCACGATAAAATTAAATAATCTAAGAATAAATTACTGTCACCCCTGGGTTATGGTTAAATTACGAAATTTCCTCTTATTACAGTCACCCCTCAACTATGTAATATCTTACGAAAATACCTCTCAAGAGGTAAATTTAAGGATGTTAAATCAGTAAGATCGAACCGAAATTTCAGTACGCCAACATTTTATACTGTTTACAGAACTGAATATACGATTTGGTACGGTAAGTAATCGAATTACATAAATTTTATGTAAAAATATTTAAAAGGATGGAGTGTCTGCAATTACCCAAACAAGAGGGTTGTTTCGTAATTTGGCCATATCTCAGGAGGTGGCCGAAATTTGCCCAATAATCTAATAAAACTCAATTATATTATTGGACTTTCAGTGATCCAATAAAAAACATGCTTGGAAGGCAAGATAAGCCATGACAACATAGTATTTACCGGTCGACTCGACAAGTTATTGGGTACCAAACATCAAACAAACCAATTATTTAGTTAATCATGATTAATCTCCCCAATTAAACGATACCTTAAGTTTCTTAGACTTTTAATCTTATTTAAGTAGTGTTTGCTGCAATAGCTTTTTTAAGTGTTTGCAAAATTATTTTTTCTGAGCTCTCAGTTCGCTGGACCGGCACTTGGGCCGAGATGACCGGACCTCCGTTAAATGGGCCTTTCGATTTTACTGAGCGAGCTACTAACTTGGCCCATCAATCTGAATATAGGGGTTCGGCCCATTGGTTCGAACAATACATTAATAATTATGGCAAATTACGGCAACCCCTGAGGTATGACCAAGTTACGAAAAAACTTCTCTTGATTGGGTAATTACAGCCACGCCCTCCTTTTAAATATTTTTACATAAAAATTATGTAATTCGGTTATTTACCGAACCAAATCATATATTCAGTTCGGTAAACGATATGAAATATTGGCGTACCGAAATTTCGGTTTGGTTTTACCGATTTAACATCCTCATATTTATCTCTGGAGGGGTATTTTCATAATATAATACATAGTTGAAGGGGGCTGTAATTACCCAAAAAAGATGGAGGTTTTCGTAATTTGACCATAACTCAGGCATTGGCCTTAATTTGCCATAATAATTAATAATATTTCAAATATACTTTTATCTGAATAATATTCACCAATTTTTATTCCAATCAAAATTCAATTTTTTGCCTTTTTTTTTTTTTTGTGTAATTTATTGTTTCTTGGTGAATGATGAATTTGTATTGTAATAGGACTGAACTGTGCATTGAGTTTGATTAGCCTATTCGAGTTTTCGTTCAACTGAACTCGCACCCGTGAATGCCTATTCGCCGATGGATATCAATGTGCTATTTCGGAACTAGAATAACGAAAACACGATACCGAAGTATACAACTTATAACGTTTATAAATTAGTATTAAACATTAGGGAAACATCCTGGATGACGAGACGAACAATCAGTTCCGATAACAATTTTCGATAAAAAAAAAAAACATACGTAGAAAATCTCCCTTAAATGTTCGTATTATATATTTATGCCATCTCGTCTCTCTTCCCTTCGTCGTCGTCGTAGAACTTTTTCCACACCGGATGCTGCTTCCATACTCTTTCCTCAATAAGCTCGATAGGTATCCCTTTCGTCTCGGGCAGTAGGAACACGACAAAGAGTCCCATTGCGAGAATCCATGCGGAGAAGAAGAAGAATATGTACGCCCTCATATGACACATCATCGATAGAAACGCCTGGGCGATTATGAACGTGAATATCATGTTTGTGCTGACAGCAAATGCGAAACCGGCTGTTCTTGTCTCGATCGGGAATATTTCACTCGGAATCAGCCACCCCATCGGGCCCCACGACCATGCGAACGACATCACAAACGTGCACACTAAAATAACGACTAGTGCTGCAAGCCCCTTGTGCAACGTGCCGGTTGCGCTTAGATGCGTTAGCAAGATTGCTCCAATCGCAACCTGCATGCAAGATTTTTTTTTTTTATCAAATCGATGATTTTATCGAGTTGTAATCGATGATTTATCGAGATGTAAATATCGTACCTGGGAGATAAACATCTGGACAGAAGCTTGGAGAAGAAGCTTTCTCCTTCCTACCTTATCCACAAGGTAGATAGAGACGAAAGTAGCACCGACGTTAACCAATCCGGTAATGACAGACGACAACAACGAAGCATCGGATTTGAACCCTAACGTCTGAAAAAGGACAGGCGCGTAAAACATGATTGCATTGATTCCGGTTAGCTGTTGGAACACCTGAATTATATTGGCGACGAATAGAGCCGGGATTCCGGATCGCTTGAACAGTTTCTTGAAAGGCTTCTTCACTTGTCTTCCTTGTTCGCATGCGGCTACAATTTGCTGAAACTCGGCATCGACTTCGTCGACACCTCTGATTTTCTTGAGGGCTTTTCTGCCCTCATCTTCTTTGCCTCTCTCGACCAGGCTCGAGGGCGTTTCGGTAATTATCAAAGATCCGACCAGGAGGACGCAGCCTGGAACCGCTGCAAGCCCTAGTGAAATCCTCCATCCGTTGGGATGAATCATTGACGTGCCGTAGTTTATTAGGTTTGCTATGAAAATCCCGATCGTTACGAAGAGCTGGAAGAGGATATTTACGGCCCCCCGATGTTGTACCGGTGCGATTTCGGTTAGAAACAATGGAACAGCCTGCAAAATTAGGTACATTTTCAAGATTTATATATGTTACCTTAACTATTCCTCAATTTTATATTATAGTAAATTACACTTAAACCAAACTTGAAGGGAGGTATATGTAATTTTCCAAAGTTGGGGGTGTAGATGTAATTTGACCTAACATCAGGGGACGTAGGTGTAATCTACTGTATATATATCATTGGGCAAATTACAAAAACACCCCTCTTGTTTGGTTAATTACAGCCACCCCTACTTTTACATATTTTTACATAAAATTATTTAATTCGATTATTTACCTAACCAAATCGTATATTCAGTTCGGTAAACGGCATGAAATGTTGGCGTACCAAAATTTCGGTTCGGTTTTACCGATTTAACATCACTAAATTTACCTCTTAAGGAGTATTTTTGTAAGATAATACATAGTTGAGAGAGTGGCTGTAATTACCCAAATAAAAGGGGTGTTTTCGTAATTTGGTCATACCTTACGAGGTGCCCGTAATTTGCCCTATATCATTTACTACTTATATGGTGGTATAATACTTACTTCGTTTCCGAATCCAACGCCAATGCCGAAAAGAATTCGACCAACGATAAGCATCCACTTCGCCTCGGCGGCCCCACACAAGCAAGCCCCACCGATGAAAAAAATCGAAGCCATAAGAATAGTGGGGCGGCGCCCTAAAAGCGTACAAGCTCTCGATGCAAAGAAGCTAGCTATCAACGCTGCTATGTACAACGAAGATGTGAAGAGTTGCAGCATTTGGTCATCGTATTTACAGTAATTATTTTCCGATGCGTGCAATTTCCTCTCGTGTACTTTCGGGAAAAACTTTATCAAGAAATCGTCCATAGACGTTACTCCACCTGATCGATCAACAAATATTTTCGAAAATCGTCAAGTACAAATATCCATATTTCATTTTCGAATATATATATATATATATATTTTAATTTATTTATTTTTATGTACCCGAAATGCCGATGTCGTAACCGAACATTAGCCCTCCAAAGGCAGCGAGTATCCAGCATGCGAACACATAGGGTGTCACCTTCGACTTGTAGTGTTCGATATCGTTGTTCGCCATTTTTTTTTTTCGGTTTTCCGCTTCTCCGATTATTCCAGAATATTCTTTTATTTGTAACCTAACAAGAAAATATATATACACAAATATTATTTATTTATTTCTTTTTTTCCTTTTTTTTCTTATCTATATATGCTTAAGGGGGTGGAGAGGATGAGATAAAGAGAAGTTTTATATAAACAAAATAATATAAAATCTTTATCTTTTGCTCTCCATTTTTATTTCCCTATTACATATACAAAGACTAGAATTAAAAAAAGAAAAATAAATAAATAAAACTATGTCAAAATTGTTGACATTGGACCTTCTTATATAGTACTTCTCTGAATTTAGGTGCCCCAAATTCGGATAATATTTTGGATAAATTGATGGATGAGGTTTTTTTAATTAATGGTGAAGATTACGCTATTAATGAGGATTAATTAAATTAATTTCAGCCAATATTTTTCTATATATACTATAAAAAGAAGATTTACTTGATTTAATGGCAGAAAAATGTGAATCACAATTATATGGTTGACTTCAACTTATTTCTCGTCAAAGGTCAAAGATTACATTTTAAATCAATTATAATCACGCCACGTCATGAGTGGATAAGGGTCTAAATTATCATTTGTGCGAATTAAAATTTTGTTGAAATTAAATAGCGGTAGATTTTGAGCTATATAGCACGGAAACTTTAAATACTATTATTTGGTTAAATTAGTAGCACTTCTCCCCTTCGATTAATTTTGTAGGTGGTTGATTAAAAGAGAAAAATACAATTTTGTCCTTAAACCAATGTTATAATTTTGTTAATTAAAAAACTTTTTAGACTATTCACATCTAATACTAGAATTTTAACAAATTTAACACAAGATGTATCTAACGAGTCAAACATCTTACTGGCCAAATAATTAATTAGTCAGTGGAATATTAATCCAACATCACCTAATCCGATGTAATCCGATATAGGTAAGCAAATGAGGCCTTAACGTATTCGCATTTTGGATACGTTTTGTGTTCAATACTCGATATGGGCCATTTTGGAATTTCGGAAAAGTTAGAAACATTTTTTAATAACAATTTCCAAATATTTTTGTTGTTTCCCGAAATATTTACATGATTTAATGATCACTTACAAATTTATACAAATTAATACTCCCTCTGTTCCATAATATCTGTCTCTTTTGAGAATTTCTTTTCTTTCATATTATCTGTCACTTTACAATTCCAATGCTGCATTAATTGCTTATTTTTCAATTTTACCCTTATTAACTCTGCAACACTCTTCCTGCATTAATTAATAAACAAGGGTATTTTGGTCCATCAATATATACTTTCCTAAAATCAAGACATATTTATTGAGATTCTTAAGATTTGTGCCAATGTAAAAAACGACACCTATTTAGGAACGGATGGAGTAGTTGATAACAATATTTATTTTGAATATATTTGTCATGGAAATTTAGGGTAAGTTACAACCACCCCTTGAGGTATGATTAATTTACGAAAAACCCCTCTTGTTTGGATAATTTTATCCCCTCAACTATGATTTTTTCTTACACCTCCACCCTTATGGTGTCAAATTCAACAGAATCATCTAAATTTCGTGGAATATGCTCTAGTTTATACTCGTTTTGTGTAAAATACAGTTTCTGATGCACCACAATCTGATATATACAAGCCAAAAAACACATATTATGATCATCTTGCTTCAAAATGTGGAGTTCGAATAAGATAAACGGATACAATAGTGATGATACTCTATATAATCTCAAAGATTCCACTAAAATTAAAACCACAAGGGTGGACGTGTAAAAAGATTTATAGTTGAGGGGGTGAATATAATTACCCAAACAAGAAGGGAATTTTCGTAATTTGACCATACCTCATGGGTGGTTGTAATTTACCCAGGAAATTTATAAAGAGAATCTATATAGAAATAAAAATTTATATATATATTAATACCATATTTTTAATATACCCCTATCTTTTTAATATTTGCACATTGCCTTCAAGTTTTTGTATCCCGTTTGCTTATATCCCCGTTTCCCGATTTGTTCGACGCTACACCCAGTGATAAACATCGGGCGGGTCTTCTGCTGCCACGTGTCTCTTTTTTGTATTTTATAATATATTATCCTCTAGGGTTTACCTTTAGGAGTTTTAGAAAAATAAAAAAAAGGACACGTGGCAGCAGAAGACTCACCCGATGTTTATCACCGGGTGTAGGGTCGAAGGAACACCGTTTCCCTGTGTGCTAAAGACTAAATAGATTATCACTAATTTAAGTTTCTAAGGGAATTTTAAGTGAAATAAATATTACAAAATGATGACTAGGCAACAACTTGGTTGCATATATACACGTGTTACATCCAAATAAGCATTAACAAGTTGACACGTGACGTGGCAATTAATAATAACCACTTACATAAAACATTATAAATAAAATTAATCTATTGATCGGAGCAAATAAAATACATAAATGTATTGAAATATTATATAAATTATATGATTGAAGTTATTATATGAATATTTAACAAGTGGATAATTTGATGCTTACGATTGGAGCAAATAAAATTTATGAATGTATTGTATTATTACAACAAACATTTCACGAATATTTGACGCCTCGTTTTAATACTTGTACACTGGAGTTGGTGTACGAATTTCGGGTGAAAAAAATAAAATAAAAAAAGGACTTCTTTTTTCAAATAATTGTAAATAAAAACTCGATTGACTGGGTTTATTATCTCCTACATTTAAGTATTTTTTTCAAGAAATGAGATGAATTTGGTTATGTATGGAGGGTGGTCAAAGCACAAAGATCCTCTTTATCAGGGGCAATGCTGTAAATTAGGAACTAACCCCTCGCGAAAACATGCCTTTAAAACTCCATACTTTGTTAGTGTGAAAAAAAACACACTTGTACATTTTAATTACTACTTAGCTTTACTTTTAACACTTAATTACACTCCCAAAAAGAGGGAAAAAGAAAATCAAGATTCATGTTCATGCAAGCCTAGTTTATTGAGACACTCTCTATACAATTTTTCGAGTTACGACGATTAGAAGATCGGAAAGATCGGAAAGATGACGAACAATAGCGCAGAGCCTTCCGCACGTAACTACAAATCGAAGATCACACCTTACGTCGTGGTGTGTTGGATTTTCGCAGCCTTCGGAGGATTGATGTTTGGATACGACATTGGGATTTCGGGTACGTACGTACACACACGTGCAATAAATTAAATGCTTGCACACTTTATGCAATTTTATATAAAATAAGGTTTTAGGGGGTGACGCGATGCGACCCCCTAATTAAAAATTTATGGCATCGCCACTGCTTGTAACAAATAACAATACATCGACACGATAAATCAATTGTTTTTGTTGTTGTTCGATTTTTTTAGGTGGAGTGACGGCGATGGACGATTTCTTGGAGAAATTCTTTCCGCTTATTTATCAGAGGAAGCTACACGCAAAGGAAAACAATTACTGCAAATACGACGATCAACTTCTTCAGCTTTTCACGTCGTCGTTGTATCTCGCGGCTCTCGTCTCCAGCTTCGGAGCGTCCAAGGTGTGCACGGTCCTCGGGAGGCGCCCGACCATTAGATTGGCTTCGATACTCTTCATCATTGCGGCTATAATTAGTGGAGCGGCACCGAACAAAACTATTTTGATTATCGGTAGGATATTGTTCGGAGTCGGAGTCGGATTCGGTAACGAGGTAACGAATCGACAACTTATTTTCTCGTTTTTTGGAAATTTAAAAAATCTTGTGCATGCACATTTTGCATGTCGAAATTAAATTGTTAAAAAATCAAAATTTTCGCAGTCGGTTCCGCTCTTCCTATCGGAAGTAGCGCCGGTACAACACAGGGGGGCCGTCAACATCCTCTTCCAGCTCTTCATCACAATCGGAATCTTCATCGCAAACATCGTCAACTACCTAATCTCCGCCGTCCACCCGTACGGATGGCGAATCGCCCTCGGCCTAGCCGGCGTCCCGGGCGTCGTCCTCCTCATCGGCTCGTTCATCATCATGGAGACCCCCTCCAGCCTGATCGAGCGCGGCATGGAGACCGACGGCCGCGAGGCCCTTAAGAAGATCCGCGGCGTCGACGACGTGGAGGCGGAGCTCGAGAGCATCCGGTCCGCCTGCGAGAAGGCCCGCCTCGTCAAGCACCCGTTCAAGAAGCTCATGAAACGCGCCAGCGTCCCCCCGCTAGTCATCGCGATCTCGATCCAGGTCTTTCAGCAGTTCACCGGGATCAACGCCGTCATGTTCTACGCGCCGGTCCTCTTCCAGACCGTCGGCTTCAAGACCGACAGCTCGCTCCTCTCCTCCGTCATCATGGGCATGGTCAACGTTCTGAGCACCATTGTCTCGATCATCGCCGTTGACCGTGTCGGCCGTAGGAAATTGCTCCTCCAAGCTAGTGTCCAGATGTTCATATGCATGGTGATACAATATTCTTCCTCTATTATAATCTATTTTATTTAATTTACCTACAGTAGAACCTTAATTTACCTACAGTAGAACCTCGATTAAATAATAGTTTATCTCGGTCCCGAATCGGTGAAAACGTGTTAAATTATTAACTCGATAATTTAATAATTCGCTAAATTAATAAAATTCCCCTAGTCCCAACTGTATTAATTTACAGAGGTTTAACTGTATGAATGTAGGTTGGAGTTGGATCAATTCTACTAGTCCACTTGAAGCCGACGGGGTCACTCGACAAGAGACTAGCGGCGGCGGTGGTGGTGCTTGTCTGCCTTTTCGTGATGTCGTTCGCGTGGTCGTGGGGTCCAATGGGGTGGTTGATTCCGAGCGAGATATTCCCTCTGGAAACGAGAACCGCCGGATTCGCATTCGCGGTCAGCACAAACATGCTCTTCACGTTTGTTATCGCGCAGGGATTCTTGTCCATGCTATGCAACATGCAGTCGTACATCTTCTTCTTCTTCGCGGCTTGGATTTTGGTGATGGGATTGTTTGTCCTGTTTTTGCTGCCCGAGACAAAGGGAGTTCCGATTGAGGCCATAACCGAGAGGGTTTGGAGGAAGCACCCGGTTTGGAAGAATTTCATGGCGAAGGAAATCGTGAGGAACACCGAGATGAACTGAAGTGGGATTCGAGAGTTGAAATGAATCGTCTTCCTCTCGCCCGAGTTCTGTTTTTTTGTTTTTTGGATTCGATTTATTTGCGGTTGTTGGTTATTTTTTTCGTTTCGAAATAAGAGAGGCTTTAGATATTGCGCGCATTGAAGCGCGGATGGGCGAAATAAAGGGCGGAATAAAGTACTTCTTGTATTGATTCAACTTTTTTATGAGGAAAAAAACCGATTTTGAAACTTGACTCCTTTTTAAGTTGTTCATGAGCTTACGAGTCGGCTTGCAGATTTTATTATTATTTAATAGTAATGATAATAATAATAATAATAAATGCAAGTTCATTTTTTTATTTTTCATTATAACATAAATAATTGTCATAATAGAAAAATTAATACCTAAATTAAAAAAAAAAAAAAAAAGTGAATGAGTTGAGCTCGAGCTCAGAAAATGAAACTTGATGAGCTCAAGCTCGAAAAATATGGTGAACTCGGCTCGTTTACACCCCTAAATCGATAGGGTTGAATAGAAGACTGAATAGAGGTACGCACATTGTGTATTCATATATATATGATTTGTCAGGAAAGCGAAAAAGGAAAGAAAAAATATCATGAAATGAATTATTTTCGCCCTAATTAATAACTAGTGCATCCGATGATCGAAATCGATATCTCATAGTTTACATTACCAACGAAATAAAAACACGAGCGCTAGCTGCGAAATCGTAAGCAGCAATTCGAGCTTAGTGATCAGAGGAGGTGCACCACTGGGAGAAGGTGCGGGAACTGCAGACTCGGGAACTGGAGAGGGGGTGAATATTCCGGAGGGGGTGGCCGGTGCTGAGGTGGAAAGAGGGAGAACGTTGATGTCGACCTTTTGTCCAGCCTGGCAGTGACCTGGCACGCCACATAGGAAGAAGTGGTGGCCTCTAGTGTCGATGGTGATCGAGTCGTTCCCGGTTGTGTGTGTCGAGATGGGAGAAGATACGTTGCACGCGCGGTACTCGGCGTGTGTCACTTGCATCACGTTGTGGAATTGAGGATTGTACTCGAAAACTGAAATTCGAAAAAAAAAAATCAAAAAAGGAATCATTCATATATATATATTGATGATTTTAAAGTATAGAAAAGTTTTAAAATCCAAAAAATTAAATAAATCCAGATTATATTCATGTAGTCATATAGTGTGGTTGGTGAATATTGAAGTAGTGGGCATCATAATTAAGGCGTGCACTTTTGACAAACCATGTTTGATGTTGTTTACTTTTATGATAGTACATGAGATATTTGTTTGTCTTACACTCACTCTCTTAGAGTGTTATTTTCTAACGGAATCTTTTTTGTTTCGGTGAGGATTACCCGAGAAAATGTCAATTCTACCTCGAAACAGTTTTTGAAATATAGGTGGCACTGGTATACCTTCTATAGTTACCTTATTTTCTTGAACATCATTTTGCAGTATCAGTGCACTTTCTTAGATTGCTAGTATGAACCATCATAGCATATATAGGCAATTTTTTAAACATCCGTACATGGTTACCTTCAATATATTCTACGTCTTGTGACTATTCATCTATTGCATTTTTATGCAAATAGGGGGCAAGAAAACTTTATGGCAAGATGGTGGTTTAATTCGATGGTTTTTAAGGAGTTAGAAAGAGGTATGGGATAAAGAAATCAACGGAAAATCTTGGTCCTATTGAAAATTCTAGTGAAGGTGAATATCCGAATCTAAAAGGTAGGGCTAAAAACATTTACAGTTAGAGGGGTCGTGACAATTCTAGTTACAATAATATCGATCGTTTAGGGGTGGGATTGACATTTTTCGGGAAATATTCTCTAGAATAAAAAATATTGCATGAAAAATCGCATCGTAAAAGGGTCGGTGTGAAACGAAAACAAACATCAGGGCGGGAGGTGTTTTGGTAATTAAAAATAGGTAGGGGTATTTTCATAATTTAACCTAAGTTCAGGAGATTTTTGTCATTTACCCTAAAATTTATCGGTGCTCTAGTGTGACCACTCTCCCACCTTCCACTTAGACTGTTGGAACATGGAATATAATCCAACTAAGAGAAATCATTAATTATAGGAAGAAATCAAGAACACAAACATATCTAGTACCATACTATGAAACATCATAAGATCTTCAAATTAAAATGAAATGAAATAAATAAAGGAAAGAACATTTAATATGCATGCAGAGAAAATATTAATGAGAAGATGAAAAGACAAACATACCGATGACGTCACCAAGTTGAAAGGTTTTAGTAAGAGCCCATTGTTTGTAATCAACATTGCCAATTGTAGTCCATCCTGCAGAATCTCCCACCTTATATACACCTCCATTTGTTGCCTCAATCGAAGCTCCGAAGACGATGATCAACCACAACAAAACCGCCATCTATCGATATTTCTTCTTCCTCTTCCTCTTCTTCTTCTTTTCTGCACAATGTGTCAACAATTTGAGTATATATATATAAGTATATAAAAATAAAAGTTGGGATTTAATTTTGGGGTTGTCGATTATAAGTTTGGTGCTTTTAATGATGAGTGATGACTAATGACTACTGTTTTTAAGGAGTTTGTTGGGGGGTGGTGGGGTTGTGTGGGGAATTAATGGGGCTCACAGGTGTGGCGGAGTCAGTATAGGAACAGAGGGGGCCATGGCCCCCTCGGTATTTCTCAAATCTAGAAATATATAAAAACTCGAGTGAATATAGTAGCATTAACGGCCCTCCCCCTAGAATTTTTAATTAGTGTATTGGCCCTCCGAACTTAAAATCCTGGCTCCGCTAGTGGCGTGGCTGAAGTAGAAATACCACTTTCTCCATTTTATTTGATTCTTTATTATTTGTTGTGATAAATAGTATAAAGAAAAAATTGAAGGTTAAAGTTTACTAGTGGCTATAGTGGCATGGTTGGCTGTCCATGTTAATTAGCTTTTAGTTCACTCCAATTCTTATATTCATTATTCAATGCTAATTTTTAAGACAGCCAAAAATATGCTTAGTTAATAAGAAATTTTGAGTTCATTTTCAACAATTGTAAGAATTTATCTAGGCAATATTTAGGGGCGTGTATGTATATATATCAATCGAATCGAGACGGGATTGATTGAATTTATTGAGTTTTTATAGTTCTGTTTGAGTTTTGTTTGATATAAGCAACCGAATCGAAAGAATCGAGTTCAACTAAAAATTGATGTTTTCGTACATATTCTATCATTTTTTTTTTTCTAATCGAGCTTGGGCTCAAGCCAAGCTTACCGAACGAAAATACGTGTTCAAATTTGGTTCGTGGCGTTTACTAATTGAACTCAAATGAACTTCTAAAAAGCAATCTCAAATTAAGTATTGAATAATTTAATTAATTAGACTTAAACAATATTATTAATATTAATTAACAAAAATAATAATCCTGTCTCACATTCTCACTATCTTAGTCCTAGTTGTTGGCGGCCGCATAACTAAAAAACATCATAACAATTGTTGGAAAACTTGAAAGCAAAGAATGATTGAATAATATAATTAAGGTTGTCTCTTGTGCAATGAATTAGTATATGAAATGTTGTAATAATTAAGATAAATTAAATCGAAATTAAAAAGCAATATAATTCTATGAATTTTTAAAAATAAAAAATTAAGATCAATGGAGTTTAAAGATAAGAAAAATATTTATCCTTGGTCCAATCTAAATATTTTTTTTTTTTGATAAGGGTCCAATCTAAATTTTAGTTTCTCCTTGTTACATAGTAGTGAAACAAACCCCTCTCTTGCATAATATACATACACATACACCTATATAGAGAGTAAATTACAATCACCTCCCCGAGATAAAGTTATAATTACGAAAAAGACCCTTTTTTGAGAAATTACATCCAACCCCCTACATTTTGTAAATTTCTTGAATCCACCCCTCTACAAAAGGGTGTTAATGTAAGAAATGTGCAAATTGGAGGGTGGTGGATGTAATTATGATAAAATGAGGAGGGTTTTTATAAATAGACTTTATCTCAAGGGATGGTTGTAATTTATCTTATCTATTAAATTATTGTAGCATAATTCAAAATCTACACCCAAATCCTTTATTAATTGTGGATTTGCCCATTTTTCATCTCAATATTACCATTTCCCCACTTGCCATTATTCTCCTCATCTCCAACATCACTCATAAACCTCTTCCACAACCAATGCTTCTTCCACACCATCTCCGTCATCTCCTCTATCGGCACGTTCTTCGTCTCCGGCAATAGGAAAAACACGAAGAACGACATCACGAGAACCCACGCGGAGAAGAACAAGAAGATCCCGAACTTGAAAACGCAAAGCATTGACAGAAACGCCTGAGCGATGACGAACGTGAACACCAGGTTCACGCACACCGTCACGCTCTGCGCCGCCGACCTGGTCTCCAGCGGGAACGTCTCGCTCGGGATGAGCCACCCGAGCGGGCCCCACGACCAGGCGAAGGCGGAGACGAACGTGCAGACGAGGATCACGACGAAGATCGCGTATCCGTGGCTCAGGTTGTCCGAGTGGTCCGTCACCTTGAGTCCCAAGATCACCGCTATGACGACCTGCGATAGGAACATCTGGACACCGGCTTCGAGAAGGAGCACGCGCCGCCCTAGCTTGTCGACCGAGTAGATCGATACGATTGTGGAAAGTACGTTGACGGCCCCGAGGATCACCGACGAGTATAAAGCCGCATCGCTCCCGAATCCGACGGTGGTGAATAGGACCGGCGCGTAGAACATGATCGCGTTGATTCCCGTGAATTGCTGGAAAACCTGCAGCAAAGCAAAATTTCCCGGTAAAAAAGAATTCAAAAAAAATGAATGATAGTAAATAAGAATTTATTTAATTTAACACCCCTATGTTGTATAATGTTGCTAAAAAGTCCTTGTATTATTTAACATTCTTCCTGCATGGTACGGTGAGTTTTGATTGGGGCAGTTTGCTGAAACAATTGCATTGTAGAGAACTTTTTGCAAATATTAATTAATAATGGGTTTTTTGCAAAAACTACCCATATGTAATCACTAATTGCTAAAAAGACCCTTGTGTTAAAAAAATTAACAAGAACCCCCTATGAATAGTCAAAGCCAAAAAGGCCCCTAACAACTTATTGTGTAACGCACGCGCGGATTGTGAGAGTACAAGTGTGTTTTTTGACTTGAAAAGTCAAAAATACCCTCCAAAATTCTTTTTGTTTCCTTTTTAGTTATATTTTTTAATATTTATTTTGTAGGGTACTTTGGTGTTTTCACATAAGTCAACACTAGATTTCGAAATAAGAACCGGGTTGCTTCAAAAAACGCAACATAGAGGGGCTTCTTTCTAATTTTTTTAGCATAATGGATTTTTCAGCAATTAGAAATAACACAGGGAGGTTAATTTGTGCTATTAACTCTATTAATAATATAGGGAAAGTTTTAAAAACTAAAACAAACATAGGGTGTTTAATGCAATTGTAAACAAATAAAAAACAAACCTGTAAAGACAAAGCAATGATCAATTGAGGCCTGTTTTTCCTCATGAGCAAATTCCTGAAAGGGTGCTTAACTAGCTTGGCTACACGGCTAGCCTCGACGAGCTCGTTGAATTCGGGCTCGATATTATCGGTACCTCTAATTCTCCTTAGCACCGCTTTTCCTTCGTCCAAACGCCCTCTTTCGATTAAGCTATTGGGTGTTTCCACCACCAATAGTGCTCCGATTGTCAGAAGGCCGGCCGGTATTCCGGCCAGCCCTAGTGACAACCTCCACCCCCATCCTCCAGCAATTCTAGAACAAAAAATAAAAATAAAAATTGTCATGTTTCTAGATTAATGACGTCATTAATTTAATGAAAATAATTATTTATTTAATTACTTAGCAGTGCCGTAATTAACGAGGTTGGCGAAAAGAATTCCGATGGTGACGTTGAGCTGGAATAGAATGTTGAGCCCTCCACGTATTCTTGTGGGTGCAATTTCTGATAGGAACAGCGGAACTGCCTGATAATTAATTAATTAATTTAATTACCAATTAATTCACAATTAGTCTAATTAATTGAAATAATTGAAGGAAGAATAAACAAAAGAAGAAACTACAAGGAAAGTGTGATACTTTAATCTTTAATAAATTGGGGCCCCAAAGAAGTAATATTCATACATGTGCAATAATGCAACTCATTATTAATGGATAGAAAAATATATTAAAGTATGGTGTAAAAGGCTGTAAGAATCACTGTCCTTCGTCTTTGGACCACAAATATTTTCCCCAAAATACCCCTACCATTTATAAAGCATGTGCAATTTCTTGTGTCACGTATATAATTTCCAATTTGGACTGTATTATTATTATTTCTATTTTTATAGAAAAAAAAATTGTTACAACAAACAAAAGGGAGAAAATTCAAGAATTAGGACAAGGATGTTGAAGTGTGAACACCACATATTTCTGAACTTCGAAAAAAAGACGAGTGTTCGGATCCAGAATATGGAAATTCGAACGTAAAATTAAGATTAAAAAAAAAATTAAAAGAAAGTCGTACCTGATTAGCGAAACCGACACCGCATCCGAGCAAAATACGGCCGACGATAAGCATGGCTAGGTCTTGGGCACCGGCGTTAAGACCAACTCCGATAATGAAAAATAAACCCGCAATTAACATGGTTGGTCTCCTTCCGAGCTTTCTCGTCGTGTAAGAAGCGAAGAAAGTGGCGACTAAACCCGCGAGATACAATGACGACGTGAATAATTGCAGCCCTTCGTTGTCGTATTTGCAGTAATTACTGTTTAGCCCCGGATCGTTTACTTTCTCGTGCACCGCGGGGAAGAATTTCTTCAAGAACGGGGCCATTTCCGTCACGCCACCTGTAATTTTTTTTTAAAAATTAGTTTAATTGCAAAAACTTAATATAATTAATGGTGTGTGTTATTTGAAAAAAAAAAAGAGAAAAATTAAAAGACTAACCCGAAACACCGACGTCATAGCCGAACATTAGACCTCCGGTCGCCGCCATGATGCATGAGATGATTACTATAGGGGTGATCTTGGCCTCGAACTCCGTGCCGCCACCCGATGAGGCGGCAAATCCTCCTCCGGCCATGTCTCCAAGCTGTATGTATATGTGTGTATATTATGTTATATATAAGTATTCCAAGTTCAAGAAAAGAGGGAACAATGGAGTTGATTGCTAGAGTGATGAAACTATGGGAATACCTAAAGAGGTATATATAGAGTTATAGGTTAGTGAGAATTAAAAAAATAAAGAAGGGGTGAAATATTTTGTGGGTAGGGGTTTGTTTTATTATACTCTCCACAAAATATCAAGATATATATTTTGTTATATTATATTATTGAACTTTTATAAATCGATACAGTTCAGATTAGCAGAACTCTTTTAATTTTGCGAAATATTAAATTGTCGACCTAATAATTTAATATATTTCACTGAGATGGAACCTAAAAAAAAATATTATTTAAGTGAAATTATTAATTTATCGAAGCTCATCATACTTATTTTATGTATATATATTATATTTCACGGAGTGTAGCATTTAAAAAGACGGGTCGAGATTATGTGTAGAGTTCATAAGAACCATGGGGATCTTTCCACGTGCACCATTTAAAAATGGTTTTCTCTTCTACTTCCTAGTTGACGGCTATATGGATAGTCAACGCACGTCTCTACATAATAAATAAATAAACAGATTATTTCTTTTGTGATCCGGTATTTGGTATTTATTTATTTTATTTCATTTTGGAAAGAATACTAACTAAAAAATAATTTACTCTTAGGATCTTTTTGCTTTTGTATAAAATAAAAAATACAAGATTTTTTTATATAAAAATGCAAAGATTTTATTAGAAGCTGTGAGGATCATGCCACGTGGCCCTATGTTAGCTGCAACAAGATAAAATATGTATATTAATATTACAAAATAAAAAATCAAATCGTTGTGATCCATTAAAAAAAATGATTGGTCAAATATTTGACCTTTCTAAAATTCTCAGTGTTGAACTTTTGTTACATAAGGCAAAAGCTTCTTGTGACACGTGTTTTTGTGGTTTGATTTTTTTTAAACTTTTTATAGGATATGGTAGAATCAAAAATACATGTGTGGCCATGTGACTCACAAAATTCCAACCAAGAAAAATGTGTTAAATTAGTATTTATATATATGTGTGTAATATAACTAAGAATTTTTAAGTATTTATATGTGTGTTATAACGTATAAATCAAATGTGCAGAATCACTCATCAATATATTTTATCGGGTATAGCATCTATAGAATCATGTGAACAGTTCGTATGTTTGTATTGATTTTATTTTAGGTTAACAAGCAAGCACCTTTTTTATTGATGTATTATATTCGATCATCAATTTGCTGAAAAAAGAAACAGTACAACAAGAATTATATACCAAAAGATAAGAGATGTGTTAGATAGATACCTAATTTTTTTTTCTTTCTTTTTTTCTTAATTAATTGCAATATCAGCATCGTAGCC